CAAAACCGAGGCCATGTTCTTCTCTCCCTCGCCCCCCACTCAGCTTCTGTATTTTCCTGGTCTAAATAGTACACCTATTAAAGTTGTTAACGAGCACAAGCACCTGGGCGTTATTCTCGACCGCCAACTCTCCTGGTCTCCACAAGTCCAGTCTGTGTGCAAGCGTGCGAGTGCGTCCTTAGGTATGCTACAACCCCACTGCCAACACTTGAATGATAACTGCAGAAAATTGTTCTTTAAGTCGTACATTTTGCCTATATTTGACTATTGCGATATAGCTTGGTGCGGGTTGTCTCAGACTTTACTCCACAGACTGGAAGTACATCAACGCTTGCTTCTGAAAATTCTGTTTCGAAAAGACCAAACATTTGCCTCCCTTTGTCTTTATAAACTTGCTTCCACGCACCCTCTTCTTGCCCGACATCAGCAGCATCTTTGTATCCTTGTGCAAAAAATCTTCCTAGCCCAAGTCCCGAAACATATTGCCAAGTACAACTGGTTTGTTACCACTAGACCAACACGCAATGCCTTATCACTGCCCCGAGCTAGTTCCTCTCTGTTTTTGAAATCCCCTTTCTTCTCAGCATACTCCCTTTGGTCTAACCTGCCTACTAGCATTAAGACATGCCAGGATATCAGGAAATTCAAAGTCCAGCTTTCCACACTGTCTCATCCGAAGTGATCCCATGTATTACTAATGTGCCTCCCTTTCTTTTTCTCTCCCTATCTCCTTTCCCTCTCTGACAGCATCTTTCTTTTTCTCCCTTTTAGCTTGCCGTGGTTGGCTATCACCTGACCTCTCATGTTTATTGGCAGTCTTCGGACGGGCCAGGAGATGTTGAATAAATAAATAAATAAACATTGTACATGTATAATTATAACGAATGAATAGCAGAAAAAGGACTCAGTCTACATGTATTTCATAGGGTAAAATGGCTCCCAATTTCTACAAAGAAAAGTGCCATACCCAAAGAAGTTGAAGGGGACAAAAGTTCTGTTAAAGATGATAACAAAACGCACAGTTCTGCTGGGACCTGCATACAGATGGCGCTAGAATTTAGAAAAGCGTGTGAGGCAGACAATCTATAAAAAATCGCATTAACGTTGGCACGCCTACATGTACATGCAGAATGTTGGATTGAAGTTAGTTTTTAAAAGTCCCCATAGTGACGTGACGACGAGGTGAGAGAAACGGAAGGCCAGACGACGCGACAGTCCCCCAGGGAGGCCTCTCTGGAGGTTACCGGCTGACGCGCACCACCACTGGCTACATATGCGGCTACAACTAGAGTAAAACCTGTGACTAACGACCACCCCTTGGGGCCAGATAAAGCGGTCTTTAGTGGCAGGTGGTCCTTGGTTAGAGGTTTGTACCGCACAACCATGTATGAATGTGAGACAGTCCGTGCCTGGCAAAGTGGTCTGTAGTACCAGGCTGGTCGCTAGTCACGGTGGTCTTTAGTTACAGGTTTTACTGTATAACTTTCTTGTCAACAGCGGAGCGTGCGGGCAGTGCAGTGAATGGATGCCCCACGGGCCTCTGGGACTGTGGCGTGGTCCGATTTTCACTTCATTTGGCCTTTCTACTCCCACATGCGACGCGTTTGCTGTGCAGTGAAGCCAACGGATCCTGGGTCGGTGGAGCACATCAGACCCCGTCACCACGTCCACGACTCATGCCTGTGATGCTGCACCGCTGTTTTGCATGTCATGATTGGAAGCTGTGGCCTTAGTAAAAAAATGTATGGACTCAGATGGAGAGCCAAGGTTTAATTTATACAAAGAGAAAGACCAAGGAACTACAAGTTACGCTATACTGGTGGTGTTAGTAGACAGTATAGCGTAACTTGTAGTTCCTTGGTCTTTCTCTTGGTATAAAAAAATGTATGACTGTGTATACTACTCTGCACATTTGTTGTTGTTGTTGTATACTGCATTTATTGTCGGAATCAAAACAGGCATACGCCTGATAACAAAGCACCCATTGAGTTGTTGAACACTCTACTTCAAGCTGCGTCGACCACCCTTGTTTGGTACCACAACGCTATGGTCTGATTGGTGCATTTGTGGGGCGAGGTGAAGTAACTGAAGTTCCATGTTGTTTTTTGGTGTTTTTTCTGAATTCAAATAATAATTATGATATCACCGCGTGACGTCAATTCTGTGTGGGTAGAGTTTTTTTGGGGTTTTTTAAGTTCCATGTACATGTATATGTAATAGCAATAAAAAGAACAAACTCTGCAGTCATCGCGACACTACAACGAAGTCATGAAAGTTTACCAGAATTAATTTTCTTGTCACATTCATCAGTGGAAAGTCGTGACTGGTAGAGCCCCAGACGTCCAGTGCAATGCTGGGCGTCTATACCCATTTTTGCTGTGCGCCCGGTCTGTACAGAGGCACCAGAACACCTCGCGTAGAGCTCAGCGTTGTCACCATGATCAGTCAGGTCATGATCAGTTAGAAGTAACGTAGCACACACAGCAGAATGATGCAACATTCACACTGCATGAGGTGTTATTTAGTGACACTTTGTAGTGGGTCAGTACGTCGCGGAGCAATGTAGCAAGAACCGAATTTGCGTCACTGAAATGCGACTTGGAGATAAAATCGTGTACACTGTACAATGTTGTGCAATGTAGTTCGTAGTTCATTATACTCCATGTGTTAACATGAACATTGGCCTCTGCATGTACATGGATATCAGTCGGTCGCGTTAAGTCTACGGCACAAATTACAGAGACAGTATGCATAGGTTCTGCGAAAGTGCTCATTACCTGATTTAGGCAGAGCGGCGTACACAAAGGCACACAATGAAAACCTTGGGCTCGTTGTCTGGTGATTGGTTCAGCCATGAAACTCTGAGTCACAACGGAATTTGCCCAAGGTTTTCATTGTGTGCCTTTGCGTACAGGACCAATAATTATATTCAAGTCGACATCTACATCTGCAAAAGACACTGGAGGCAGTACTCTGAATGCCCCCCCCCCCCCCCACCGACCAGACACTAGGGTTCGTATCTGGCTGTGAAAATCGCCCGTTTGATGCAGCATTAGCCTGTCTTTGTCATTTGTCTTTACACAAGATGTGCTGATGGCACACTTCTTCATGCGCAGTGTAGAGCCAGTGTAATGACGTTAGTCCAGATTGTTATGGTGCTAAGATACTCAAAGAAAGCAGGTGAATTTCTGATAACGACTGTCACCGAACTTGAACCCTTTGCCGGCTGATTTCTATGTAGAATTGTACACTGAAATGTTATACCCTGAATTGGACGCAACTTTGCTTTCCCTTAGACGATTTTCATCATCTTGGGCATCCGGAAAAGCCCCTGATGAGAATCACCTTCTCTGGAGAAGAGTTTACTGCGTACGAGAGTCTAGTCGTACTTCAATTAGTACCGTATTACACTCTTTGAATAGAGATACAATGGGCGCTTTCGATTACACGTTTACACAATTCTGGAACTGGTTTTTTAATTCTGGAATGACCAGAATGAGCGGATTCCAGCCTTGTAAACGAACGACTGGAATCCACAACGCATTTTATTCATGTCATGTCACAAACGAAATTGATGAATCGCAAAAAGAGATCACGTACACCCTTGCGATCGATCGCGCGCACATGGACCTAGCATCGCGCACACGCCGGCCAGGGAGGCTCTTCGCGCGCTTGAGTCATGACCAAACCGGTAACACACCGACAGTGCAATTCTGGCGCCAGAATTAGAGAAATTCCGCCTTCTCTTCAGAATTGATGGATTCGACGGAATTGGATAAAATCAATTCTAACGACGGAATTTGTGACTTTTTGTGTAATCGAACTGTGCATCAACAATAACTAATTCTAGAATTGACCGAAATGCGTGTAATCGAAAGCGCCCAATGTATCCCTATAGACTATTGTTCTCGCTACAGAGTGTCCTATGAAATTCTAGAACAGCTGCACAAGAAAGTACAAGACGTTACATGTAGCAATGCGCCAGGCAGGTGGTGAGGCTTTGCATTTCAGTGCGGCACTCTCAGTGCTCGCCACATTGCTCCGCGACGTACCGACCGACCACAACAAGTCACTGCACAAAACCTCACGCAGTATTCTTATCATCTGGGGCTACGGACCACCATCACGGAACAGGAAACAACTTAATCACAAGTCGATCCTCGGACCACATGTGAAAACCTGTGTGGAAACACAACCCCATGTTGTGTGATTACTCGCGTTGAGAACTTTTCAAACATTCGGCTAGTATAGCTGTACTGTGCTTGGGTTATGCAAGGGGGGGGGGAGGTTGCCCCACAGTGGGGTGTGACCCTGATTCCGGGTCCCTGGGCCAGCTACAGCAGCATCAATCTTGACCAGTGAAATTAAGGTTGATGGAATCTTATTTTATTGTTTATACTTTGAAGTAATGTAACTACAAAGGGAAGAAGTGGGGGGGAGGGGGGGGGGGAGAGAGGTAATCTACAAGAAGTCTAGCTATTCAGAGAACTACACTACCGGTGTTAACTACCAGGCACAAATACTTAATAGTGAGCAGGTTATGTTAGAATCAAGCATACAATTGGTATCCTGATATCGCCTCTATGGTGAAGCGCAAACAAAATAAACTGTGATGCTCCGTATAGAAGAAAGAATGGGGGAGTAGATTCGGGAGCGTAGGAAAGGTGATGCATGTCCTACTACGAGAGTCATGACTAATGTGTGGTGTGATGTAAATGTATTGTGCTTATAGGCTTATGATTGTTATGATTGTGGTAATCTGCGAAGACTCAGCAGCAGTCAAATGCATGGTAAGTATAGGAACTCATTATACTGCTTCACTTCCCTCGTCGGGTATACATGCCAGCTCGACTGCTCTGGTGTCTGATACTCCGCCATTGCTACAGTGATGCATCGTAGGTCACTTGGACGATCATTACAATGATGAGTGCTCCATGGTGATGGCCGTCCGCTACCATAGTTACCCGTTGCCATGGCGAGATAATCTACTAGTAGTAGCCTTAGTGCTTGTTACGGGATGAGCGACGGTTACCAGATCTCCGATTGCTACGTCGGCTGCTACGACGGCTGCTGCTTCCGCTGCTGCTTCCGCTGCTGCGTCGGCTGCTGCGTCGGCTGCTGCCTCGGCTGCTGCCTCGGCTGCTGCGTCGGCTGCTGCGTCGGCTGCTGTTGCGGCTGCTGCGTCGGCTGCTGCGGCGACTGCTGCCGCGTGGGCTGCTGCTGCTGCGGATTCGGTTGCTGCTGCGTCGACGGCTAGCAGTTATGCGGTTTCTCTCGCGACTTCCGCCATCGTCGGAGCTTGAGTCACCGCCATCCCTTTCATTACTGTCAGAGGCGCTAGATTGCACCTCGATATCATCACCTCTACCCTTGTACCAACTCTCGTTGTCTTCAGTTTCCAGCTCATAGGTCTCGTCAATGGCATCTTCATCTTCGTCATCAAACAGCTCATCTGCCACCATGTCTTCGTCATTGAGAGCCTCCCGTTCCTCAGCCACACCTCGCTCATTGATCTGGACAGCATCCTGGTTAATCTAATGCAAACAACAAGTCAAACAACGTATCTCTTAATCTTGACCTTTAGCAACCATCTATTCAATGAAGGTATTGTTTCATTGAACAAGAAAATGTATACTAGTACACACGTACATGTATCTCAAAATCTTGCAAATAAAATCTTTAGACTATCCGCGACCGAACATGTCAACGACAACAGGTGTGACATTAGTAATTGCATCTTCTGATTTCCCCGCTCCCCACCCCTCTCAATTACCTCAGCAACATCCTGCGAAGACAAGTCCAAAGGACTGGAGTGGACACATGCACCCACCAATAGGCACAAGGCCAGAACGAAAGCAACTTTCATCTTGACGAAAAGAGAGAGAGAGAGAGCTGTACAAAGTAAACGCTGCTTTCTTAGGTCAACTCCTTTGTTCTTTTTGAAAGACTCAGCTGTAGAATGATGGTTTTTGTCTACACAAATCACGCTTTTTATACATTTACTGCACACGTTGAGAGTCGTGTTACTTAAGATCGAACCTTGATTTTTACTTCATGAAGGTGTGGCCCATCGAGTACAGCGGCTTTCCCCAAGGCTCCCTTTCTCGCAGACTCCGGTGCAACAGAGCAAGCAACTCTGGACCTTAGGCATGTCCGATGGCCGGTACATTGGACATGGACAGTCAGTCCTGTATATGTGTATGTCTGTACCGATTTGCGCTGCGCGCGCGTGTGCGCGTGTATGTGTGCTAGCGTGCGTGTCACTGCTTTGTGCACGTGCAAGAGACTTGTGAGACGGGTCCCGCAGACTCCCGCTAAGGTCACATGCTCTGTCAGGGCAAGCCGTTTTAAAGTTGTTTTTGTTCAAGATACATGCGAAGCCATTACTGTGTATTCTGTGCCCATTTCTGCTGTCCATGTCGGTGTGTGTGTATGAGATACATGCGAAGCCATTACTGTGTATTCTGTGCCCATTTCTGCTGTCAATGTCGGTGTGTGTGTATGAGATACATGCGAAGCCATTACTGTGTATTCTGTGACCATTTCTGCTGTCCATGTCGGTGTGTGTGTGTATGAGATACATGCGAAGCCATCACTGTGTATCTGTACACATTTCTGCTGCGCCCCAGCTCCCGGCCTAGCAAGAGAGCTAGCAGAAGAGCACGCAGAGTGCAACATTGTCACCATGAGCAGTCAGTTCCTGGCTAGGTAGCACACTGCAGTACTTTACATTTAGGTTTTTTGTTACAACATCTCAAGACTCGGTGGAAACACCGGCCAATGTTAAGACAGTGGCCAACCACGGCGACAAATAACAGTAAGGGAGCTGTACCCTATGCAACATTCGCCCTGCATGAGGTGTGGTGCAGCAACACTTCGTCGTCCGTCGGTACGTCGCCGAGCAATGTAGCAACAGTCAAAGGTGTGGGAACTGAAATGCAACTAGGATGTAAAATACGAACATTATACTTTGTACTTGGCAGTCACGGTCAATACACCTCTCGTACCTGACGTGCTGGTGGCATTTTTCTTCGTGTAAAGCTAGTACAATGACGTCAGTTTGAAATGCTATGGCGGTATGATTCCCCAAGAAAACCGGCGAATATCCAATGTCGAACGTCAGCGACCTTTAAGAAATGAGGACTCTCAGTCTTGCATCTCTATTTTGTACCGGTAGTAATAGTTCAATCGACAACAAAGCACAGAAGATACAATTACATGCACATCAAAAATACAATCTGCCGACAGAACGGCTTGGTCCTTTGGGGACTTATAAGCGCAGCACAGAGAGAATGAGGTGAAACCTTCGTACTACTAACTAGGATGAACTCATCTGCTTCACTACCTCTTTCTCTCTCTCTCTCTCTCTCTCTCTCTTTCTCTCTCTCTCTCTCTCTCTCTCTCTCTCTCTCTCTCTCTCTCTCTCTCTCTCTCTCTCTCTCTCTCTCACACTCACTCCCTTCTTTCCGGTTGCCGTGCTTATGATTTTTGTTTCCCTGCTGCCGTGCTCATATTAGTTATCTAACTTATCTTCTTCTCTGTTCTGTTTGTCAACTTATTTTTATATATTTTTTCTTTTCTCTTATCATCAGTGGGACCATTGTCATTAGGTTTAGGCCTGTCTTGGAACTCCACTCTAAATAAAGCCAAACAACAACAACAACAAACCGGATGGTAATGGAAAGATTTTCCAACAGCCAGATTTAAACCAGGCCCGAACGTACCTAGCGAGAGTGCTAAAACTGGGCTTTGTCAATTAACTGTGGATCGCAGCACGGCTGGAAAAATCCTGCTGCTTCCAGCTCCGCACAACGCTAAAAGCAAAGGAACCAACCACCCCACGTGCTCGGCTGCCGCAAGAGCAGGAAAGACATACCAGGTGCGGCGTGGAAGACACAACATCAGCAAAGGAGGATACTTGTATTCTAATAATTTGGATTATTTCTTTCCTGATCGGCTATGGCCTATGGACCATTGTGAAAATTGAGAAAAATAATTGTTATTATCGCCTTCTTAGTATTTGTCCCCACTGATGGCAGTCGTGAGTCAGTCAAGTGTCAAGTTCGGCAGGAAGCGTGTGTTCCTCGTTGGAACAACAAACTTCCAAACATTTTCATCGGCCAATAAAGGGTTGATAAAAAAATTATAGCACAGTATTTACCTTGGCCAGCTCACCATACTGGATTGAAAGCGAAGAATCTGAAATCATGCAGCATGCCTGCTGCAATGGAACGGCCAGACAACTTGAGGGAAATATTTCATGTCAGTGTGTCCAAACCAAAGGCATTCATACACATACCCTGCCCACGGTTGTCCCTGCACAGTAAAACCTGTGACTAACGACCATCCCTTTGGGCCAGAAAAAGCGGTCCGAAGTTTAGTGGCAGGTGGTCCTTTAGTTAGAGGTTTGCACAGAACAACCATTATTATGAATGTGAGACCGTCCGTGCCTGGCAAAGTGGTCTGTAGTACCAGGCTGGTCGCTAGTCACGATGGTCTTTACTCTTTAGCTACAGGTTTTATTGTATCTGTGCTTTATGTAGTGACCATGAGTAGCAGGGCTATTTGTGCGCCAAGGCCAGCGTGATGGTGCATTGTGGGAAAAACGAATGATCCAATATTGACTCTACATAATAATTACAGGCTCGATCCTTTTCAATAGGCCACTTGAGGTTCGAAGAGGCTACGGAAGTTTTGCCCGGAGACGAATCAAGTACTTCTTGAGTAGAAAGTATTCATGTACATGTATATTGTACATATGTACATGAGCACACTAAATCCGCGGATATCCAAATTTTCGGACTTGTTGGATCTCTTCAGCGGAGCTCAGAGTTGCTGGCGGAACCGATCACAAGGAGATCCAGCGAACAATAAAGCATTATATTAAAATGTAAACCAGGTCCAAGCACCAAAGCTCAACTGCGATGAACACAGCGAGCCCTGAACGAGGTCTGCTAGCAGTTTCGAGCAGTTGAATGTCCCAGAAGCAATGTACATTCGTATCCGTGATCCAAACCTGTGCAAACAACAAGATAATGTTACCGCACTTACACCATTCCAGTAATTTTCCACACTCACCACGGTTACCCGTACATCGGCACATTATAAAGTGCTAACTTCCCCGAACATCCTATCGTAGTCTCACCTACATATTTATCACTCACCAGGGTATTGTACTCTTATCATAAAGTATGTGCTACTTTCTTACTTTACCTTCAGTCCATTTCTTACTTGAATCTTTTTTTATTTTTTTTTATCTTAGAATTTTTTTGACAATGCAACACAATTATTGTGGAAAGGTCACAACAATAAGAGACAAGATCAAAAGGAAAGCTTTACAATAATAATAATAATAATAATAAAACGTAGCCTGTAAAATATAAAAAGTCACTGAGTACAGTTCAATTCAATTTCTTACTTGTATCCGTGTTTTTGTCACCCCAGGTGTATAAATCCTATTGCTATTTTTATCTTCAGTTACGAGTTTCCACCGCTAATTGAGACAGGAAAATGTTCTGGAACAATTTATTCGTTGCTCTGATTGTGATGTGAGTGCGCCTATAGTTTTATTCATTGCATTAAGTATTAATGTTATAATTAGACACAAAAGGGACAACGGAGGTTTACAGAATTGTCGCAACTTAGAGTTTCCTGCTCAATGCAATCATCAGGCGACTCCACATTATTATGTTGAGCCCTCTCCGCTGGCAGAAGGAAGTTTTCCTCCTTGTAACACAAAGTTGCAATTACAGCACACAAGCCCACTTTCTCACAGCTGGTGCGCAGTAATGTTTGATAACGTTATTCTCCCCATTTTCTACAGCCTTCTTCCACATACTGGCTTACAGACTTCTTCCACATAGATTGTAATTCACATGTCCACACAGGACAGGCATGTTGGTTTCAACTCCACTCAACCCTTGAATCTACGGGACACATGATGTCGGCCATATTGATTCCGCTGTCCGCGTGCCATGATCATTGTCTGCACAGAGTTATGCACATGGCAAAGATGTGAAAGCCCTCCACGAAACTAACCGGCACCAACACGCAGAAAATACCAGCACCAAGTACCAAACTATGGCGATCCAGAGTATGGCATATTCCTTCCTGCATTCTTTCTGTCTACCTGTCCTTTCAGGACCTCTCGTATGGGGGCGTATCCCGTTTGGTGAGATTGGCATCCAAACGGTGTGGCCCGCAGTATTGTTATAGATTGAAGAGAAAGAGAGGGGAAAGAGGAGGGAGAGAGAGAGAGAGAGAGGACAGCGAGCCAGAGAGAGAGAGGAGGGGGGGAGAGAAAGACACCGATAGAGAGAGAAATAGAGGTAGAGAACGAGATAGAGAGATAGAGAGAGCCGGATATAGAAAAAGAGAAAAAGAGAGAGAGAGAGAGAGAGAGAGAGAGAGAGAGAGAAGAGAGAGAGAGAGGGAGATATTAATATTATCTCCCTCTCTTTATATACTCAATCTGCGGACAGCATGCTGTTTCGTTCTTTGTGAACTCATCAGCGCAGTACAGAGGAAATGAGGCCGAACCAGATAGCAATGAAAAAATATACTTGTAAGTAATTTCCAAAGCCAGATTTAAATCAGGCCCGTACGTACCTTGCCAGAGTGCTCAACCTGACAAGTCAGTGAGCTCTGCGTTATGCAAACAGCAAATGCACAACCTCACATGAGAGTGCTCAACTACTGCAAGAGCAGGAGCGATATAATTATATACATGTAATCAATGTTGCAGACAGCCAGACTGTTTTGGCCAATGAGGCCTCATCAGTGCAACTCCGAGCTTAAAATAGGATTGAACTGTCAGCCATGACTACGAGAACCACAGACACTAGGACAGCTCGATGTACTAGCGCT